GTACACACACACACACACACACACACACAGAGACATACACACAAATAAAAAATAAAAGTATAGCATAAAATAATGAACTTAAATTAATAAAATAACTATTGGAAATGCCTTTGGGGTTTTAAAACTTTAGAATGACATTTAATATATCTTCCTTTGTATATCTTCTTTTTTATTTATACAATTCTTCAATTTTATAGTCATTCTTATACATTGTTTCATTCATGTACATTTATTTGTATAGTCATTTCTGAACATGGTGTTTTATATAATTAATTACCCTTGGCTATGACTTTTGTTCCCCATCTCCTCAAGTTCCCATGCACCTTGCCTATTCATTCACACTCTCCCACCCATCCACTAAGCGCTGATGTCCTACTGATTTCTTCCTTTTTCCATACCCTTTCTTCCCTTCCTTTCCCCTTTTGAATCTATTTGCTAATTGCAATTGTCATATTATCCTTATCTCAGTACTTTCCAGGTTGATCCTCCCTTGTCTGCTTTATAGTGTTAGTTTACACATTGTATTTCGCTTCTCCTTCTCCTTTTCTGACCTCTCAGTTACCCTCCTGTTTCACAGTAAGTCCTATGCAGTATTTGTTCTTCGGAAAATTAGTTCATAGATTCAACATTATGCTCTCTAGACTCTCCGATGTTGTGCTGTCATATTTTATGAATACCTCATTGTTCTTTAGTGCTGTGTGGCATTTCACTGTGTGAATAAACCACAGTTTTACTATCCATTCATTTGTTGTACATTTGGGCTGTTTCCCTTTTCTTCATATTGTAAATAAGACTGCTATGAATGTATGTGTACAAATCTTACTCATGTTCCTGCTCTAATTTCCTTGGGTTATAGTCCTAGCATCCAGATAGCTAGGTTATATGACATTTCTATGTTCATCTTTTTGAGGAGACACCAAATTGCCTTCCATAGTGTATGTACGTACCATTTTGCAGTCCCACCAGCATTGCATAAGAGTTCTAATCCTTTCCATCATTTATTGTTTGCTGTCCTGTTAAATTTTGCTACTGGTACTGGGGTGAGATGCTATTACATAATTGTTTTGATTTACATCTCTCTGATTGCCATGACTTTGAACACTTCCTTATGTGTTTGATGGCCATATGAAAGTTCTTCTTTGTGAAGAGTCTTTCGTGTGTTTTGCCCATTTTGTAATTGGATTATTAATCTTTTTCTTGTGGAGAGCCTGTAGTTTTCTGTAAACTTTAGTTATGAGGCCCTTATCTGAAATGTTTTTGACACACATCCTATCCAGTCTGTGGGCTTTCTTTTCACCTTGTTGGAAAAGGTTTTGATTCACACAGAGATTTGATTTTTTGAAAATCCGATTTGTTTATTTTATCCTCTTCTAGTTACACATTTTGGACTAAGTTTGAAATCTTATTTATGCCATAGACTAGGACGTCTATAGTTGTTCCTATTTTGTCTCTGATCTTAATGGTGTTTGGTTTTACCTTTAAGTCTCTAACTCACTTAGAGTTGGGTTTTGTGTATAATGTGAGACCTGCATCTTGTTTCAGTTTCCCTTAGTCAGATATCTAATTTTGTTATAACCGTTTGTTAAAGGGGCTGTCCTTTCCCCATTTAATGGATTTGCTTCCTTGTCAAATATTAATTGACTGTAGGAGGATTCTGGGCTTTTAATTCTATTTCACTGCTCTTTCTGTCTGTTGTTGAACCAAATACCGCACTACTTTGATTACTTCTGCTATTTTTGAGATCAGACAGTTCAATGCCTCCTACTTCACTTTTATTTTCATTTTATTTTATAAAAACAGCTTTTCTTACTCAAGGTCTCTTTCCCTTACAAATAAAACTGCAAATTGTCTTTTCTATCTCCTTGAAAAATAAGCTTTATATTTGTATTGGGATTGTGTTAAATATGTATATTCCTTTTGGTAGAATTGTCATTTTTATGAGTCTTTCTATCCATGAACAGACAGTATTTTTGCATTTAATTAAGTCTCTTATTGTTTCTTGTAGTAATGTTATGTAGTTAGTTTTCTTTATAAAGGTCTTGTGTCTCTGGTTAGGTTTATTTCTAAGTAGTGTAAAATATTCTTAATTGGAAAGTCAAGGAAAAAAGTCTTTTAAAATAATTATCATTTCTTTAGATGTTTAGAATGAGTATCAGATCAGAAGCATAGAACTAAATATTTGAGAAGAGAAATTTCCTGGAGAATTTGGTCACTGCCATATAAGCTGGCAGAAAGGAAAACAAAGGTGTTCTGAACTTAAAATAGCTCTCTATTCAATTTCATGTTGTCATTGCTCTTCTGTGGCATCAACTTGGAACCAGTTTGCAGCTCACCCTCCAGTGAGTTTTCAGAGGCAGTAAATCCCAGGGGTGGAGATTGGCCATCTTTCTCCTGTGAAGCCACTGGTAGATTCAAATCCCCTGTGCCTTTGGGTTAACAGCACAAATCCTTACCTACTAGTCCACCAGAACTTCCTGTGAATTCTATTTATTATTTTATATAATATGAAAACATCAGAAACACTTGCTTAGTGTGAATGAATAGATTTTATTTATACTTAGTTTTACTTTGATGACTTGTATTAAATATTTCAATTCTGTATATATAGTCAAGATAGGCTAACTTATGTAACAGGAATGACCAACTAAAATTACAGTGACTTAAAACAGCCAAGGTTTATTTCTATCTCAAGCTTGCAGAAGGATTTTGATGTGAGGTACCCAGTCTTCATCTAGACCTGTGTTTTCTCAATTGCTATGGAATACAGTAGGTAACGTGAGAAGTCACACAACTTTCATAATTTCTATTTAGTGACACGTCGTTGTTGTGTACCATCAAATCAGAGCCAACCCACAGTGGGTTTTCAGAGGCAGTTAATCACACGAGGATCTTGCCCATCCTTCCATGGAGCCACTGGCAGATTAAAAACATAGGATTGCAGTGCAGATTCTTAACATTAGGCCACAGTGACACTTCTAGACCACACTAAATGTCAAAGATGGAGGAGAAGTACTATTATACATATATTATGTGACCAGAAGGAGATCTGGAATATGTGTCAACAGCACAAATACATATCAAAATGTGAGAGAGAGAGCGCGAGCACACGTTCACACCTATATATATTTGTCATTTGTATGCATGGAAGTTTTAAAATGTAACCCATATTTTGAATGGAAATATACTTTCTGCACATAGATATCCAGAAAAATTTATTCATAACATTATTTTAAAAATAAAAACATAATTAATCTCTTTGATTAGTATATGTATTTGAGGAATAAATACAGCTAAAATTTAAAATCTACTCTGCACATTTTGATATATATTTTTAAAGCAGATGCTTTATTCAGAATGATTGATATACATACATAAAATAATCTTTATTTAGTCTGAATCATGAATTGTGGCTGGGACCTTGAGCTTCCTCTTAGCCTCCTTTTCTTCCCCATTGGTTCTTTCTTTAAGAAATGTCATCATTCTAGTAGTCTAAGATATTCTAGGAGAATTCATAAGATGAACTAATATTTTTTATGCCACAAACTTTGCTAGAGCCAGAGTGCATATTTTATCAAATTATTAAAATAATCTTATGTGTGATAGCTAGCAAATGAAAACCCTAGGTGCACCAAGTTCTTATAAATGCATTTTATGTTTAGATGTGCTCTCTCTCTTCCTTCTCTAGGTATTTCATGATGTTGCTTACAAAGCTAAAGATCGAAATGACTTAGTATCAGGAATTGATGAATTTCTTGATCAAGTTACTGTTCTCCCTCCCGGAGAATGGGACCCAAGCATACGAATAGAGCCTCCAAAAAATGTTCCTTCTCAGGTATGTACATTTGAAAATGATCTTAAAAGTCCCAATATCTTGTTCTCTTTTAAATATATATCTTAAAGTGGTATAAACCAAGCCCAGTTCTTAGAATCCATTTGAACTCATTACAACCCTTTTATCAGATTTTTAAGGCTGTAAATCTTTACGGGTGGGGGCTGCCTCACCTTTTTATCCTGGAATGGCTGGTGGATTCTAATAACTGACATTTCACTTAGGGTTGCTCCAAAAATATTCAAATGATTTCAACTATAACCTTCAGAGGGCAGGAGCCTGAAGTTATGAAATAATCCTACCCAGCATACCTCACTTAGAAATTTGGCATTTTGATAGTAAACTATTAAAACCAATTATCAGCAAACAGCCCTATGTGCATCCTTAAAAGATATTTCATTAGAAGAAAATGAAAATTCTATAAAGGTTTAAATTATGGCTATGAAATAAAGCTTACTTATAATGCTTGCATTACTTTGTTGTCCTACATGGCTTCAAATTGGTAAGTCCATTACATTTTTATTCCCATCTATTATTGACAAAAATGTTTCATTATAATCTAAAAGGAATTTGTATTTCCCTTGTATGGATATATCATATAATATATAATTAGTAAAAAATCTGCCTTTGAAAGCTCACTGCTTATTTTGCCCAACACATTCTAGAAAGAAAACAAAGACGGCTACTATTGTTTGGGATTATGCTCTTATTGCAGGCCTGGCTTTAGTGAGAGTGGTAGCCAAATGTTTATCAAATTCACTTCTTGGTGACACCACAGTTTTTGCTGATTATGTCTTCTTTCTACAGTCCTCTTCTTATTATTTACTCACCTTTGTCTTTGGCCCTTGACCCTGTGGAGTTTAGCCTAGTCTCACTTTAACTTCCTATTTAAGTGATAGAGGGCCTGTCTTAGAAAAATTTAGACATTTTTCTGGTCAACCAGTGGTGGGAAAGTGAGCAAGTATAACCATTTAATCACCTTAAAAAGCCATCTCTATTCCTTTATCAATTTAGAGGAAATGCAATCATATATCTTTTCTGTATTATTATTCTGAAATCATTTCATAATTATTAACAGAGTATATTCTTTCCTTTTCTCAAAAATTGTCATGTTGTGATACTGTAATTAAAATGGCATATTTTCAGCTAAGTTGAAATAAAAGCAGTGGCCTAATAACATCTTTTGAGTATTATCAATTGTCTTATTTCCCTACTCATATTCTTTTTTTTCCTTTTTCATTAGAAAAGGCATAATGGTGCTGTATAAAATAGTAAGAAAGATAATTAGTGAGTTTTAAAGAAATCAGTAAAAATATTAATATATTGAGAGTATTAAGAGTGAGACACCAAAAGTCACTGTTAATGTGAATTATTTCCTCAGATATTAAAACTCAAGTTAAGCATGTTAAAAATAATCTCCAAAGTGTTGTCTTTTATTATTTTTGTTGGTATTATGGACTAAACTGATGTTTTATCCTAGGACCAACTCCAGGGCATCTGTAAGGTCAGAATTAATGACATAATATAATGATGTTGTTGTCATGCACTATATTTGAAGTCAAGAATTTTTGAAAAAACACCTTGTCTTTGAGAGAACTGATATTTAGAGGTCAAATGTAGGGATGAGAATTCTATGTATTTTATATTATTTTTATGAGACTCTTTTAAGTCAGAATTAATAATTGGCTTTTTGTAATTTTGAGAGACAATATTAAAAGTAGCACTAGATAAATAATCAGGACATCTGGGTTCAGTCATTGTATCTTTGAATGATTGTTGAACAAATGCCTTAACCTCCCTATCCTTGTATTTATATCAAGTTGTCTAATAGAACTTGCTGGAATAATGACAATGTCTTCTATCTTAGTTATGTATAACTCGAGGCACTATTAAATGCTTTAAATAGGACTAGAACAATGGAATTTTTTTATTTTATTTGGCTATACTAATTAAAAAATGTAAACAGCAACATGTGGTCAATAGCTACCATATTAGACAGCCTAATTCTTTATAATAAGTTTTAATTTTAAATATTCTTTATATTTTCTTTCAATATTAATATTTTACAGCTATGCTGTAGTAGAATAATGTTGTTGTGTATCATTGATTGGGAACCAACCCATAGCTGACCCTCCAGCAAGATTTCAGAGGCAGTTAATCACATGGGAGGATATTGTCCATCCTTTTCTCTCAGATCAGCTGGTTGAGTTGAACTGTGTGCCTTCAGGATTGCAGTGCAACTTCTTGCCACTAGGCCATTACCGGAGCTTCCTAATAGAATAATAGACATTCATAAATTGTATTTTGTATTTTTCTAAGAAACAACTCGTTGCATTGAGTTGGAACCAACTCCTAGCTGACTAGTGGGTTTTCAGTGGCCATAATTGTACAGAAGGAGATTGTCCCTGTTACTCTCATAGAGCAGCTAGTGGATCCAATCCACCCACTTTTTGGTTTATGGTTTAACTACCTACTCACTACGCCAGTTGTTGTAGTTGTTATGTGCCGTCGAGTCGCCTGCGACTCATAGCGACCCTATGTACAACAGCCCTAAACTCCGCTCTGTCCTGTGCCAATTGCACTGTCTCTGATACTCCCATCCCAATTATCCCAGTCACTGAATCAATCCACCTCATAGAGGGCCTTCCTCTCCTGCGCCGTCCCTCTACC